TATTCTGATATCACCTTCCGTGTTTAATTGTATTGCTTAAATATTGTTTTATATTCCGCCGTTTTTCCTACAAGTTGCCATTTAAAATAATTTACTTTAAGTCAATTAAATCATTGTTTAACATCATTACAAAAAATAAATAATGTCTTCTCGAGACAATTTCAATTAAAACGAGTATAGGATTTCTCACTTCTCTTTTTCGTATGAAGTATTATTAAGGAAAAATAATTTATAACGACAATAAACGGGTGTTTTTGTTTCTATATCGGAGCAATTAACATGGTGATTCTTGTAGAACAACGGATTGTATGCGCGCGGGACATTTATTATATCTGTCACCAGCTTGCAACTCCGACGTGACACGACGGACAAGACACGATCTCGGCAAGATGGTAGCCTGCGATCTTGAGGGACCGAAGAGATTTCTCTCTCTCGGGACCAACGAAGTAAGTATCCGCGATCGGCGGAAGATAACGACAGCAGCGCGTAGATCATGTACCATGATCGCGATGGTGACCGGATAGGGCCACTTGCGTTTTGTTCTTTCGGCGATGAGAGCAAGAATCAGATAATCCTATCGGGGGAGTAGCGGGAATTGGAGGAAAGCAGAGGAAAGAAAAAGAAAAGAAAAAGAAACCCGACTCCGTTCTGCACCCGACGATTCTCGATACCGAAAAGCGAGAACAGCACGTTCGCGGTCAACCTGCCCGGTTTTGTCTCCCGCCTATTTCTCTGTCAGAGTCAGGTAAAACGCGCGATCATATATCCTAGCGCGATCTCGGTGAAAAATGGATTTTCGCCATGATCAAGACCGGCCCCGTACGTGCCATGAACTGTTACGGTCACAGTTGCGATACGAATGCATATTTGTCCTTAATTCTATTTTATCTCTACACGGAAAGAACAATTTTGCTGAATCCAGATCTGAAAATAATTTTTGTTCAATGATCAAAATAATTTTGCGAAAGTCAAAATGATTACTAAAATATCAAAATGTTTTATAGCAATGCAGTTTTAACATTCCAATAAATTATTTTGATAATTCAACAAAAAATTATCTTGAGATCTGTATTTATAAAAATTTTTAGACCTTTCAACAAAATTGTTTTTTCCGTGTACCTTATCTGTGATGAATCTTGCCACAAAATTAATTCTTATAACATTTTGTTTCGTATCATGAACCTAAAACTCTTGAAATTCTTTTTACCTCTCTTTTCGAACCTGATATCTTGAAATGCCAGTATACAGCATACTTGCGTTGCAAATGACATTGGAGCGATCCTTATCGAAGTGACCACTTGTATGACTCGGACGAACGGTGCTCTGAATTTTCCCGAGATCGATCGCCCAAATCGATCGATCCGTCCTCTCCTCCGTGTGTGTACCACGTATCACGTATACGCAATGTAGATTCGTGTCGATCGGGTATCCTGCGCCGTGAAACGAGCCTTCGTGAATACATCTTGAGCGATCGAATACAGTTTGCTGCGTTTCTCGACGTAGCTTGTAAACGCGGTCGCACGTCGCAATACCAACGGGGGGAAAAAATCGAGATACGAGATGCAGAAGGATAGAGCCAATGTATTGGTCAGGGAAACGAAGGGGAGAGAGAGAGAGAGAGAGAGAGAGAGAGAGAGAGAGAGAGAGAGAGAGAGAGAGCACGGTTTCTGATACACTTATGTATTAATATACTCGAATTTAATCTGAAAATCTTCCGCGTAGCGATTAGTATTTACTTTGCGCATTTATTTTTGTATATACTTATTTATAGTCTTAATTAATTGTGATCGAAACGAGAGTCCTGAGTTATTTCTGAATCACAATTCTATGTCGCGTGGGATACAGAGAAAGAGGATTCGTTTGACGCGATTAATATAAAGTGACATTTGTGCAAGTTTTTTTTAATGCCACCGCGACATGCATGCCTTTGACTGATGCCTCGCGAGCCGTGTTTGTCGCCCGAAACGGAGACTGGGTTAAACGGAGACGTACGTTCTGCAGAAGCGTAGTAGAATGGAGGCGAGCATTGATGGATCACAATCACGCGAGATACATAAATGCATTTACGACTTCTTTTCCTTGTCTTTTGTCTTCCTTTTCTCTTCCTCCTCGACTTTCCTCCTTTTTTTTTTCGCCGCGCCACCGTTTCGCCGCCTCCGATCTTTTTTTCTATTCCGTGGCTTATCTTTGTGGTAGCCCGGGACATCAGGCCGCTGTCCGATTCCTTATCGCGCTATATATCCCGCGTCGATGGCGAACGGTCGCCACATAGATAACAGCGAGCTACATACATTATTCACGCGAGTACGCCGCGCTCGCGCATATTACGTATCGCCGCGACAATGCGTGGCCCGAAGTCTTATCGGCGTTGCCATATCGCTTCTTGGTACCTTTACGTAAGGGCCCGTCGGCGAGCGTCGCTTATTGTTGTCGTCGTGCTTTTGCGAACTTCGTACTTTATGAAAACGAGATTCGGCAGCGATTGCACCGCAATCGGGTGCGATACATGCTATTTTTACGCAATTTAATGGCTACTATTTAAAATAACAGCTGTCTGTCACCTTGCGTATGTAGATAAATTAGAATTCTTAATGATTCTTCGTGAATAATTGTATAGGCATTTTGTCGTAATTTGAATTATTTATAATATTATAAGTAAAGAATAACGATATTCTCTATTATCTGTATTAATTCTCTCGTAATAGCAATTTGATATGATTTTATTTTACATTCTTCCGAAATGTATTAACGCTGTATTTTTTATCTAAAAATATACCTCCATCTCTTAGTATAAAAATATCTACAGAGTTGGTTCCTATTTTGAAATTTAATTTTGACAATATCTACCGTTGCTAAACGTCAATTAATTTGCTTTAACGATTCGCAATAATATTAATTTTACGATGCCTACTTGGCAATACCAATGAATCGCGCGGCATGCCTGCTCGTCGCGGACGATCTCCCGTATAATTTCGACGCAGCGCGCGCCTGCATGAGACGAGCGTTTTACGTATGTACGGTTGTAAAATTACACCTCGAAGTGACGCATTAAAGTCCAAAGATGTTCGCGATTTCCTTTCAAGCAAATAAAGCACGTCGATGCAAAAGTCATCCCGTCGTCGCCCCACGCTCCGTTTCCTGCCGTTTCGTCGTAATACGGTATTAATCGATTAATTGGCAGAACATGACATAAAGACGCACATGGTGCGTCCAATGAGGTTGATGCAACAAGCACTTAAGCGCCCGAAAGTTATGAATCCGACGTGGCTTCCGCGGCCCGGTTGACACAATCTTTGCCGCAAATCTCTACAAGTTTTTTTTTATCTCGCTGCCGTGTTCTCAGTCGCGGAGGATCCTCCCTTCGTTCGTTAGCTCGTCGATCTATCGACGTGTCCATCTAAAGTGCGTTCCTTATTTCTCTCTTTTCGAGAAGAAACGGAGGAGTGAGGGAGCGAGAAAGAGAAAGAGAAAAAGAATATATGTGCGTGCGCTTTTTGTCGCAGAAACAACGATCTCATCTTGGCGTTTATCGCGCCACTAGAATCGACATGTATCGCATGGAAAATCTACCGTATAGAAAACGGGAAAACAACGAGAGAAGAAAGGTAGACTAGATGTCTAGAAACGCCTATACGTGAAGCTACACACATTCTGACGTATTCTGGACATTGTGTGTCCATGGACATCATGACCACTGATTTTTAAAAATCATTGGCATTGTCGCTAAGCAGCTCTAATCTGACAATTTGACAATTTTATACACGACATCAACGTGTGTACATTTACACTTACGTTTTAATTTACTAACTTAAGTTATCTTATGTTAAACATTTACGTTTAAAATACACGCTTCTTTAACTGTCATGCTTATACTTTTTGTTCATGTTAAACTTAATCCAAAATTAAAACAAGAATTATTTCTTATTGGTAATTTTTTATATGTTACGTTTATATGTTTCCGGTACTTTTCGGATAGAGTTCGATGCACCTTAAAAAAGCGCAGTAGCGCGTAATTGCGCGACGGGTATTTGCATGTCCAAGGAAATATTATCTCTATTCGCTCTTTGACCGCGCTTTGTGTAGTTCGAGGATCCATATTGTCGTTGCTATCACTGTAGATAGCACCTTTGTAAGGACGTGAAGAATAAACGGGAGAAAGGGAGAGAGAGAGAGAGAGAACGAGAGAGAAAGAGTCCCGAACCCTCGATCGCGCCGCTAGGAAAGTGTGTCCAAATGATAAAGGAATATCTGCCGTTATAAAGGGAACGTGTCAAATTTCATTGCATTCGAGGGGGAGTCGTAGGGTGCTCTTCGGATAAAAGAGGATGGAAGGGGGTAGGACAGAGAGGGACAGAGAGGACGAGGGGAACCGCGTTTCACGTTCGTAGAGAGAATTCAAAGGCGTGGGATTTCACCTGCATAAGCGCATCGCTCTTGGCGAAAAAAAAGGGAGGACAAGAGGAGAGGAGAGGAGGATCCTGCCACTGTCCTGCCGGGGTGACGTCTCTCCTCCCTAGGTGGCAGACCCATAAATAGTCCGGTTTTAGGTATTTAAGCGATAGATCATGTTTTAAACAAAAGTCGCGCTGATCCGCGCTGCAGGATGCATCAGAGAAGGGGAGGGGGGTGTAAACGAAAAGAGAGGCCGTTAAGAGGAAAGAGATGGCACAAGAGAGAAAGAGAGAGAGAGAAAGAAAGAGAGGGGGGGGGAGAGGCACGCCCTCGCTTTTGCGTTGACCCGATATACCCGAACCGACCCCATAAATCCTTCATCCAACACCGACCGCTTCCATCCACGCGGCTGTTTTCTAATATTTTGATTTATATCGCTTTCGCTGGGCTAATTTAGCGGCTTTTATCCTTTATTTGCGCGTTTAGGGGTGAAATTTGTCCCTCTGACGTGTTGCTCCGGGGGGTTACCGCCATGGGTGGGGCAGAGAGCGGGAGGGAAAGTTGTTCCCAGAGCGCGATCACAATGCCCGAAAAAAACCGAGGATCGCTTTCCAACGCGCCATTGTGTTTACGCGGCGTACATTTTTGTCCGCCGGCGACGCATCGCGGAGGTAAAACCGTAGGAAAAGATAGAGGAGATAGTTGCGAAACCCTCCACTAACGTCAACGTGAGATACTGAAATATTTTCTAGTCTCCGGCCGCGCTCACGAAACCGGCGCTCCTCGAGATGCAGGGATGGACACATTGAGCGCCTCGGTCATCTTCACGGTCCAGCGCTGTCTCTGAATGCACTCCTATTTTGGTTAACGCTGTTCATGATGATCGCGCACATACAATTACACACGTGAACAAATCGTGTAAATGCGAAGGTGCTGAATATTAGGAAATAAAAATAATAATAAAATTAGAAAGCTGTGATCGAAGTCAAGCATTGAATTTTTCTTTAGAGACCATTTATCAAGTTAAAATGATTTTTACACGCTATCGCCAAGAGTAATATCTATTAACGTTTTTAAAAAAATTAATAATAAAATTTTTCTATTCTCAGATTTATTTGCTTCTGAAAATAGCAATTTTCGAAAATCTTTGAATTACTTGCTCTGAAGCAACTTATTGGATCTTAATTTATTTTTTCCTAATAAATTAATTGTATTAAAAAGAGTTCACGTTGTCTTCTATCATAGTGTTGGACGACCTTTCTGCCAGCTGAAAAGCCGGGAACGCATCCGGTGCGGGGGTAGAAACCGGAGCATATTAGAGCGGAATAACAAATCGTAAATTATTCCCGGTAATGTCCGGGTTCCGCTTTCGTTCCGGCGTCCTCGGGTACTTAGATTTAGATATCACGTGTATGCGTTGCAGGAAGAAAAAAAAAAGGAAAACGGGGAGAGCGGGAGAATTCTGTCCTTCTCTTCGGCGCGTTTCGCAATCTCCGTCGTGCTAAACTTCCTGAGGGTCCACGTGGCCGTGCCATTGTGTCGCGATGGCACTAATGATTCGTTCTGATCCGGTATGGCCCCTCCCTCGAAGACCGTTTCCGCAACATCGCCATCGGAGTCTCGTGACGTTTGGCTCGCACCAGCTAGGGTGACTCTCCGGCAGTAATTTTTTTAGAGTCCTGTCTGTAGAAATTATCTTGTATTTTAAACTGGCATTAAAGATGTCACAAATCATGAATAAATTCAAATTAAAAGTGATGCAAATTAAGTTCTGAAAAACAGATATTTTATAATTAATTAAATTAAGACATTTTATTATACAGATATACACAGGGAAACATACGCATGCAACATATATATTTATTTTTCAGTGGATTTTTACAATTTAATTTATACTACTCTCCAGAGAATTTCTAAATTTATTGAATAACTCTTTGCCAAAGGAAAATTGATTTCAGGAATTCAGGAATGAATCTCTCTGTCCTCTCCCTTGTTTCTGCGAACATTAGAAAAATATTTTGTTACTAACGTGTTTCAGTGTATTGATTGATAAATTTTGGCGATATAAAGTTATCAATAAAACGAGTGTGCGTTTATTCTCGTGTGATCTTTGAAGGGTGACTCCTTTAGCAACTCGGTATGGGTGACAGGATGCTGGGTCGCCCGCGAGGAAGTAATGGCTCGGTAATATGACGGGGGAGAAACACGCGCCAACCGGAAACGATTCAATCCAGGAACGGGGTCTCCTTTCACTGTTACTGTTAATTTATCGTTCGATAAATGACGCAGCTTATACTAGTGAATAGAAGTATTGAGTCGTCTAGGGATACATATATTGCTAACCCATGACAAACTGCTTCATTCTTATTGATAGTGCAAATATTGATTTTTATACCATTATACGTACTTGAAGTAAAAAGATACGTTAAAAAATAATTTAGATTTTACTCTGTCTGTTCAATTCATTTAATCCTAAAACTTTATTCTCTAATCTTAAATATAAATTTATTAGCTTGGATATACAAAAATACTAAATAATTAATATTGCAATAATTGGTAGTATATCGGTTTTGTGAGAGACAGATATTTTCTTCTGTAATCATTGTGAGTTTATTCTCTATGAATGAACGTCTCCCCGTTTGCGGTTGCTTTTCATTTGCAAACAATTCGAACAGACGACATCTGCCTAAGGATGTCGTCCTCGTTACGCCACTTTCTGTCACATTGCTGCGGGCAATTCCTTAAGCCGGATCAGGACATTGAACACTCAAAATGACAAGATCCACGTGTACGTTGCATCTGTCTGTCGAAATTGAAGAAAGGATTCGAGGATAATTTAGACGTAAAAGGCTAAGAATATCAGCCAACATTGAATTCACAGAAAAGAGTAAATAACATTTTTATAAAGATTAGAAATTAATCAAAAACTGCTAACTGTCGCGTCAAGAAAAAGATTTTGTTTTGAATGAAAGCAATAGATATAAATAACGTTTGGCACTATTCAAGTTCCTCGCACTAAACTGACTTCCACAACGTGTTTGATATATCTGAACAATTTTTTATGTCCGATTTTACCGGACATATCGATTCTCGGCATTAAAGCGCGCGCGTTGTCCGAGGAGGATTAATTCCACGGGCTGATGATCTTTTATCCTTTAAACGGTGGATCCCGACCCGCCGACTGCCAACGACGCGAGGAAAGAGAAAATCCTATTTGGACTTGGTGGAGAGCGTTCCGTGAGCCCGCCACGGTCCGCAGAAGAATGGACCGTCGTTTATCAGCCGGGCGTGGGCGCGCGGGCGTAATAAATTATTTAATTAGTATGATATTTAATCAACGCTCTTCGCGCGCCCTCCGTAAATATCGGACGGGCCTCTCCGTGGGTCACGGAAGAATGGTTAGAGGTCAATGATTGGTTGGCACCGGCGGAGCCAGTTGAATCCATTCTATCCAGTGAGGCGCTAGCGGGTACGGCGAGCCTCTATCGTCTCGTTACGATGAGCAGTAACGCTGTAATCATGCACTTTGTAACTTGATTTTAACGAGAGATTCTTTGTATGTGTTTTGACGTCATAGCTGATTAGAATTCATTAAATTGATTCATCATGTTTAACGTCAAAAAAGCATAATTGCCTCGAGAAAACGTTAAATGTCTTTTTTGCTGCATTTGTTACATCTCTCTTATCTTTTTATCTCTTTCTCTGTTGCTTGGATATATCTTTTTTTTTCATTTCGCTCACTTTCGATCTTGACAAAGCGAAATGCATATTCATTCTTGTCATATCGATTTCTATTATGACCAATTAATTTGCGGCGGCGTATAATCGCAAATTAAAAATGCGCTGTGAGAATGATCAGCATATCGATTATCCCGCACACTTTTTTCGACGAGCCGTTTGATCAAAGATAGAAGAAAATAAGATGGGAGGGGCGGATGGGTCGCGGGGGGGAATGGGCGCCGCCGCGCGAGTCCCGAATCCAGCGTTGAAGCAGGAATATCGGAATATAATGCATTGGGGTCCAGACAGGCCTTGTTTATAATGGGTTGAACAAGGGTGCTAGAAGCCAGTGGGGGCTCCGGCCCCCCTAAGGCGCGGGTCTTATGGGCCCCCATAGGGACCGGCGGTGTTAACCGGCGGGCAGTCTCACTGCGGTCGCTGTTTGCTCATGAGCCGCGCATGGTATTTAGGGATAACAAGAGGGCCACTTCATCATCCGCAAGAACGACGACCCTACGATCCTTCGCCCTCTCTCTTTTTCTTTTCTTCCACCTTCTTTTCTCCTCCCCTACGATCGTTTGTCTCGCGCTCGCTATCGTCCTCGCCATATCCTTCGAATCGACTCGCTTCCCACTTCATTCCTCCGGGCCACCAGCTTTTGTCTTTTATGACTGGAACATCAGTGATCGCTAAATTTTAGATGAAAGAAATAAGAAACGAGACACCGCAAAAGAATTGTAATTTATTGAATACAAATCAAACTAACCAAGATATTTTTAATAAAAGGGTATGCATCATAAGAGTTATGTCAAGTCGACATTTTTATAACATTTTACATGATCTTGGAAGATACTCGTGCAACTTCTGACAGGTTGAACATCGTTTATACGATCCATTAACCATCATCCAGGCCCGCCGAGAGCCAACTTGGCAGCCGCAGCTTGACCGGTCTTGGCTCGGCCGAAAAAATGGATCGCTCCGGGAATAGGTCCCGCTTATGGTAATCCCGTGTTTATGCGTTGACAGTCGTTCGAGCTTCCGAAGCGCGGGGAAAGTATGCAAATCCAGCGTAGTCAAAGATTGAATTTAATTTCATGCCTACCGGCGGCGCACCGAGAAAGAAAGGGTCGAGGAAGAGCACGCGGGTGGGAGGGGGGGAAAGGAGGGAAGATTTCTCGCCGCCACTTCGTGGCGTTTGACACATCCGCGTCTGCCGTGCGAGAGATAACCTTTCGTCACCCCGGCGAAATACCGAGTGACCTTTCGACGTCGCCGGCTTCCTGCTTCCATATGCATTAAGCTTGGACGTCGTCGGCGCAGCGACGTTGGACGACGGGCCTTTTGATACCGCGCGCGCCACGTCGCATCGGCGCGGCGTGGCCGTTTTTAATCGACAAATCGACTGCGACGAATCTTTTCCCAGTCAGAACCGTAGATATTAGATATAATATTTTGTCGAACAAAATTCTAATGAATCAAGATTCTAATTTGTTTCTTTTTTAATCAGAAATAAAATATTACTTTTAATCTCACTCATGATTTCACTCGTTTTTGTGCCATGCTACATTTCATTTTTTAGCCTTTGCCTTTTTTTAATGTATAGTGATAGTTATATACGCGATCGATTTTCAATTTGCTTTCTACAAGGACTAGGAAATTAATATTAAATTTAAGACTGCGATATATTTCGAGAACGATTTTCTTTCACTATATGTCGAAATTGATAAAATATCCTTAATTTTTATCCGTCGATAAGAATCTCCGATCGAAGTAATCGGTATGAAAATTATTCGCAACGTACGTGCTGTTCTTATGATTTGAATAAAATCAGATCTGTTTTACTGGTTGATCGCTTTCTATGCATAAATGCAAGAGTGAACTTATGTGACCTATAGCTTGTTGCTTTATCAGCAGTGATATCAGCCTTTCCGGCTTGCGTCGTCTAAAATCCGCGAAGGGCCGCGTTTATGCCCTCTGACATTCTGGAACTACGCCGGACGCTGTAATTCGTTCTAATCTACTTCGAATTTGCATCCGATAACATAAGATCGCACGTTTATCGCGCTGTAATCTTACCTCAGATCATCCTAACGTATGTTCGAAATGACAGAAAAAGGCAGATGCATATCCTCCCTTCAATATATTTAAGAAGTTTCAATGTTTGAGGTGGTTTTATCGCTCAACCAACTCGATAGTGTTGTCACATAAAGGTCATACAATCGCATATGTATAATATAGTCTATGCGAAATGTTTTTATTGAATTATTAGTTATATGGAGAGACTAACTTTTGACTGAGACTTGCATGATAAAACCACCTTAAATAAAAGATCGACACTCTTATATTTTTCTCATTTCATTTATCTGTACGATAAATCGCACATTGTTTTATCGCGAAATTGCAAATTACAAGCTCAATTATGAAGATTTTAGTTAAACACGCATTTAAGAGTTAAGATAATTAATGGTACCCTAATTGACACATTATGCTTTATTACAGTCGTTTTACGATTGCCGTTTCGCTACATCGTCGCAGCAGTGCGTCGCGCGATCGCGTCGAAATAACGGGCGTCCGTAAGGCGCGGCATGCGACCTATATTTATCCCAAATCGGATCGGGTCGAGAATTACACCGGTATTACGTAAATTTCCGTGCGCGCGTACTAATGTCGATGCGATGCGACGCGGCGACACTCGCACGCCTTGATCGAGCGGTCGAGATCGCTTCGCGGTGGTTCATGAATTTTAAGAGTCGTGTAAAGGAGGCGCGGTCGAGAGGAAAGGGAGACTGGAACGAATTTCGACGGGCATAATTTTTCCATTTAGCCGTTGCACGAGTCCGATCGGTGAGATCGTCGATTTCTGTCGGGGCCGCGGGACTGACATACGTAAACAAAACGTGTACTAATGCGAACTAATGTGCCACCGGTTGTAAACTAATGACCCGCTTAAAATGTCACCACCACAGTTCGGGAGGGTACGAGCCCTCTGGTAGCCGTCGGTTTTCGATCCTTCGATTGTCACCGATCTCAAAAGCTATAGAGCGGCTTTCTCCTTTTGC